TCTTCTTCTTCTTCTTCTTCTTCTTCTTCTTCTTCTTCTTCTTCTTCTTCTTCTTCTTCTTCTTCTTCTTCTTCTTCTTCTTCTTCTTCTTCTTCTTCTCCTCCTCCTCCTCCTCCTCCTCCTCCACTACACCAAACTGGCTCTGTGAGCGAGCGATTTGGCTATGGCATAAATTAGTTGGCTCTGGAGCCCATCCTTCCTGAGCTGAGACAAAAATGTGTGAGCCAGAGGCTAAAAAGCTGTGAGCTAACTTACACTAACTCAGCTTAGAGGGAACACTGGTCGTTACAGACCTGGATTAACGGAGACGCCGCACATCCGGTGACTCCATTCGGAACAGGCGGAGTGCGTTCTGCGACCAGCTTTGGACTGGCCTAACTGGTCTTCTTACAGCATTTGTAGTTTTTCCCGTCCTGTTTTTACCTCAGGTTTCCTATCCAGGGTTGCATTCGCAGTGGCCCGTTTTATTTAGTTTCCGCCTTTATACCCTGCCTTTCTCCTCAGTAGCTTATATTTTTCTCCTCTCCCCCAAACCGCTCCTCATCCTGGGTCCCTGGGACATGAGGAAATGCCGGAATCAAAAAGTAAATAACAGACTGGGTCCGGTTGGAAGGAAATGTTTGTTGACGCGTCTCACGGAAGCTAACATTGTTGGAGCGAACGGGGCAGTTAATGCTTTGCCACGAGGAAATGAGTTCTTCTGGGTCAACCGAGGTGTGGCACAGACGCAAGCGGCGTCCTCGGTGTTTGCACAAGGCGGAGCGTTTCCATATGGCAACTTGTGGTTCCCTTTCGCCCACAAAGTTTTTTTCCCGGCTTTCCTGGCACGCACGCTTCTTCAGAAAACTTATCCCACACGATGGGATTGTGCACACGAAAACTTGGGGATAGTCCACATGATGGGCTAGCGAAAGCTTGAGAGCCAGTTTGGTGTAGTGGTTAAGAGCACGGACTCTAATCTGGGAGAGCCGGGTTTGATTCCCCGCTCCTCCACATGCAGCTGCTGGTGTGACCTTGGGCCAGTCGCAGTTCACTCAGAGCTATTCTCTCAAGGGCAGTCCTCGAAAGAGCGCTCTCAGCCCCACCTGCCTCACAGGGTGTCTGTTGTGGGGAGGGGAAGGGAAAGGAGATTGTAAGAGCCGCTCTGAGACTCCTTCGGGTCGTGAAGGGCGGGGTGTAAATCCAATCTCATCTTCTTCTTATGCCAGAATAAAATTTTGCTAGTCATAAATGTGTCACCGGACTCAAACTTTGTTCTGGAATTCTGCAAAACCCTGAGATGTTTCAGGGAGTGGCTGCGAGCTTACCCCACTCTCCAATACGAACCGGAGTAAAATTCTCCCCCTCCCCAACCATAATATTCTCTCCTGTAGTTTGCCGTCACAAGCAGCACTCCCTCTAAGCTGTGGAGTCTCGTGAGCAAAAATTCTACCTTGTGAGCTACCGGCATTAAAGTTGTGAGCGAGCGACTTGGCGGCTGCATAAATTAGTTTGCTCTGGAGCCATCTTGCTTGAGCGAAGACAAAAATGTGTGAGCCAGAGGCTAAAAAACTGTGAGCTAGCCCACACTAGCTCAGCTTAGAGGGAACATGGGTCACAAGACTATATCAGGCATTCTGCGTCAGTGAGACCAAAACGTTCCCTTGTCAAGATCTTTCTTTTTCTAGTTGGGTTGTACGTGGGTGTACCCCAGATCCCCATCGTTTCTGTCTGTCAGGGAAGAGAAGAAGAAGAGATTGGATTGATACCCTGCCCTTCACTACTCAAAGGTGTCTCAGAGCGGCTTACAAACCCCTTTCCCTCCCCCTCCCCACAACAGACACCCTGTGAGGTAGGTGGGGCTGAGAGAGCTATTGACAGAAACTGTTCTTTTTCAAGGACAGCTCTTATCAGAACTAGGGCTTGCCCGAGGTCATCTAGCAGCTGCCATGTGCAGGAGTGGGGAATCAAACCCGGTTCTCCCAGATTAGAGTCCGCGCACTTAACCACGACACCAAACTGGAAGTACCTTAACCACTCCTGACAAGCGGCAGAGCCAGCGTGACCTCTTTAGAGAGAGAGAGGTCTGTTTGTCCCTGCAATTGTCTGTCCAACCGTCTCTAACCTGGTCTGTTTTTAATCTCGGCCCTCCTCCCAAGTGGTGCGCTCCAGTGTTCCCTCTAAGCGAAGTTTCGTGTGAGCTACCTCACCGTTTTTTAGCCTCCGGCTCAGACGGTTTTTTTGTCTTCGCTCAGGGCGGACGGCTCCAGAGCAAACTAATTTATGCAGCAGCCACATCTTTCCCCCTCAAAGTAGAATCTTTGCTCACAAGACTCCACGGCTTAGAGGGAGCATGGGCGCGCCCCGTTCCCGCCTTCTCGTTTCAGCCTCACAACAGCCCTGTGGGGGTAGGCTAGGCAGCAGGAGAGTGTGAATGGCCCAAGGCGGAATGGGGATTTGAACGCAGGTCCCAGTCTGACGCTCGAACGACAGCACATCGTGTTACGTTCGGACTGAGGGATGTATTCCCAAGACGAGTTGTGATGTCCTCCTTATCGGGGAGGACTAGTTTCACTTTAAAAGTGTTCTGTATTTTGTTTAACTGGGTAGAATCTGCTGCCACCAGGAAATTTTAAGGATTTCCAAACCTTTATGCTTTTACTTTTGCTTACTGGTTTGGTAGACCGAGTTCAAGGCTCACGAGGAACTATGTGGTCCTGGGAAGTATGTCATTCAGAGCTGGTATAAACTTTGATAAAAGAGGATTTATTGAAACAAATACTAAATAAGAGGGTGGTACAATGTAACTAGTAATGTATAAATGATGAACAATTGCTTTGGTATCACAGACAATCTTCTCCCTCACCGACAGGGATCTTTTCATGTAACTTTGTAACACTTGTTTATCTCAATGCCATATCGGTTCACTGTTTCTCTCCCATTTGTTATGACCCTCAGACTTTCCTTTAACTGTTGGTCACTTAAACTTTACTTTACTGTTTCCTATACATTCAACTTTCAGCTTTCTCTCTCTGTCTCACTGAACAACCGCAGCTGTCAGTTTATAACTGCTTCAACACAGAACTGCTTGTCTAACTGAAACTACTGACTGACTCACATACTCATCCAACCAGATTCACTTCCAAAACCCCTCCCCCTCTCTGTCAACCACCAATCATACCACACTTGCCTCTCTCAACCACTCTAGTCTATCTACCACAGCCATGCAACCAAACTTTTAAAGAGACACACACACACAGAAACAAGGAATCGTTACACGAGTGTATCGTTTTATTTATTTATTTATTTATTTATTCATTAGACGTATATCCCACCCTTCCACGGTGGGCTCAGGGCGGCTAACAAGGGGCAATTGCCATACAAACAGTAAAATCAGTAAAACCATCAAATTTCAAGTTACCTATAAAATCAGTGCTCACATAGTACATCCAAGGCAGGGGTTCTGATACAATGTTTCAGGTGGTACTACTGTCTCATTCTTAATCGGTCTTCCCATGTCGGGTCTCCATTCCCAGGCCAGTTGGCAACATGGCTCCTACTTGAAAGCCTGGCGGAAGAGCTCCATCTTGCAGGCTCTGCGGAATTGCATCAGGTCCCGCAGGGCCCTGGTCTCCTCCGGGAGCTCGTTCCACCAGATAGGAGCTGCCACCGAAAAAGCCCTGGCCCTTGTCGCAGCATATTTAACCTCTCTGGGTGCTGGTACAGCCAAAGGAATGAATCAGATGCCCTCCCTCTGGTCTGCTTGGAGTGATTATGGGGCCGCTTCTGTCACTATCCTAAGGAATCTTGGGTTAACTCGCGTCTTTCAGTTAACTTTATTTGTTTGTCCGAGACATTTATTAGCGGCCTTTCTTCTTTACGGAGATCCTGGTGGTCCGCGACATAAACAAAGTACGTACAAGAGATAACGACACGTTGAAACCGAAAATTTGTTGATTCGTTTTATTCGGTTTCTGTCCGGCTCTCCCTGCACAGTTTATTCAGAGCACATAACTGTCTTCAGCTAAAGATCGAACCTGGGGGGGGGGGGACACCACTCTGGGGAGGTTGTTCCGTCATCGTGGGGCCGCCACCAAAAAGACCCTCTCTTTTGGAACTGGGAGCAAGCAGCGAGGTGGCTAAATTTGCTGATGACACGAAGTTGTTCAGGGAGGTGAGAACCAGGGAGGATTGTGAGGCACTCCAAAGAGATCTGTCGAGGATGGGCGAGTGGGCGTCAGCGTGGCAGATGGGGTTCAGTGTGGCCAAGTGCAAAGTGATGTGCATTGGGGCCAAAAATCCTAACTATAAATACACGTTGATGGGGTCCGAACTGGCAGAGACTGATCAAGAGAGAGATCTTGAGGTCGTAGTAGATAACTCACTGAAAATGTCGAGACAGTGTGTGACTGCAAGAAAGAAGGCCAATGCTATGCTGGGGATTATTAGGAAGGGTATTGAAAACAGATCAGCCAATATCATAATGCCCCTATATAAATCAATGGTGCGACCTCATCTGGAATACTGTGTGCAGTTCTGGTCACCACACCTTAAAAAGGATATTATAGCTTTGGAAAAAGTGCAGAAAAGGGCAACTCGAATGATCAAAGGGTTGGAACACTTTCCCTATGAGGAAAGGTTAAAGCGCTTGGGGCTCTTTAGCTTGGAGAAACGACGACTGAGGGGTGACACGATCGAGGTTTATAAGATTATGCATGGGAAAGAGCAGGTAGGGAAACCACAGGAGGTGGTGACAGCTACAAGCATGGACGGCTTCAAGAGGGAATTGGATACACATGTGGAGCAGAGGTCCATCAGTGGCTCTCAGCCACAAGGTATAGATAGGAACTCTCGGTCTGGGGCAAGGGATGCTCTGTCTTCTTGGTGCTTTGGGGGGGGGGCAAGAGTGGGAGGGCTTCTGGAGTTCTGGCCCCGCTGGCACCTGGTATTTTTGGCCACTGGCCTGATCCAATATCGGCTTTTCTTACGTTCTTCTATGCGCTCACCCGACGAGTTTGTTTGGTCAGTGGGAGAGTCGGAACGCTTTCTCCCTGTGCTCTTAATTCCCAGGCAGGGACGTCAAGAGTGTCACAGCTCGGGGGATCGGTAGAACGGCTGTGCTGTGTTCCTCTCTCTCCCACGCCTATAGCTGTAAGGGTCTCTCACACACTGACGCCGTCTCTCCCCCCCCCCCCCCCCCCCCCCCGCCCGCCTCTGGCTGGCCTGTTGGCGCTTGACGGCCGCCTCTGCTGATGGCCCCTTGTCTGCCTTAGGCCCAAGAAGAGATGGCCTGGAGAATAGCAAAGATGATCGTCAACGACGTCATGCAGCAGGCCCGGCCCGGCCCGGCTCTGGAACAGGTCACCAAGGTAATGGGAGGGGGGGGCAGTGCTCCCTCTAAGCTGAGTTGGTATGAGCTAGCTCACAGTTTTTTAGCTTCCAGCTCACACATTTTTGTCTGAGCTCAGGAAAGAGGGCTCCAGAGCAAACTAATTTATGCAGCGGCCAAATTGCTCAGTCACAACGTTAATGCCGGTAGCTCACAGAGTAGAATTTTTGCTCACAAGACTCAACAGCTTAGAGGGAACATTGGAGCGGGGGGGGCTGCATCCCTGCAGCAGCCAGCCAGAGAGCCACCCACTTGGGAAGGGGACAGCGTTCCGTGCGCCCTGGTGTTTAGTCATGCCGGCCACATGACCACGGAAACGTCTTCGGACAGCGCTGGCTCTTCGGCTTGGAAACGGAGATGAGCACCGCAACCCTAGAGTTGGACTTGACTGGCGTTCGAGCAAGGGAACCTTTACCTTTTTAGCTCACACTAACTCAGCTCAGAGGGAACACTAGCGCTCGACCAGTTTCCATGAGTCCCGGGGCGCCTCAGGTTTATGAAGGGGACCCCCCTCTCTGGTCGGCCAGCCGGGCCAAAGCGCCTCTTCCTCTCTTCCCCGCTGTGCCTTCCAGGTCCTCCTCAAATCGGACGCCCCCACCGGAGACGTGCTGCTGGACGAGACGCTCCGCCACCTCAAAGCCACCGAGCCCGCCGAGACGGTGCAGACGTGGATCGAGCTGCTGACGGGTGAGCAGGAGAGCGGATCGGTCTGGGGGGGGTGTTTCTAAATCCCTCCCAGCTTGGCATCCAGGGCGTGTCTCTCTACCTATAATTCAGGGTTTTGGTATTGACCTATAAGGCCTTAAGGAGCTGCGGTGGCTCAAGTGGTTAAGATGCTGAACTGCAGGCTGTGGAAGGTCAGTAGTTCGGCAGTTCGAGACCCGGGTGCCGCATGACGGAGTGAGCTCCCGTCTCTCGTTCCAGCTCCTGCCAACCTAGCAGTTCGAAAGCAAGAAACTGCAAGTAGATAAATAGGGACCACTTCGGTGGGAAGGGAACAGCGTTCCGTGCGCCTTGGTTTTAGTCATGCCGGCCACATGACCACGGAAACGTCTTCGGACAGCGCTGGTTCTTCGGCTTTGAAACGGAGACAAGCACCGCAACCCTAGAGTCAGACTCGACTGGCTTTCGAGCAAGGAGGAACCTTTACCTTTATAAGGCCTTGAGCAGTCAGGGGCCAACATATCTACGGGACCGTCTCCTCCGTTATGTCCCCGGGAGAGCGTTGCGCTCTTCAGATAGTATCTTACTGGTGGCCCCCGGCCCGAAAGACATCCGGCTGTCCTCAACCCTGGGGCCTTTTCGGTCCTGGCCCCAGCCTGGTGGAACTCTCCGCCGACTACCATCAGGGCCCTGCGGGACCTTATGAAATTCCACAGGGCCTGAAAGGCTGAGATGTTCCGCCAGGCCTTTGGTTGAGGACAGTGACGGTTTTCATCTTGGCACCGGCACCCTCTTCTGCCATCTACATTTGCCTGTTTGGTGTACTGGTGAAGTGCGCGGACTCTAATCTGGGAGAACCGGGTTTGATTCCCCACGCCTCCACTTGCACCTGCTGGATGACCTTGGGCAAGACGTAGTTCTGTCAGAGCTGTTCTTGAAAAAGGGCCGTTTCTGTCAGAGCTCTCTCAGCCCCACCGACCTCACAGGGTGTGTCTGTTGTGGGGAGGGGAAGGGAAAGGAGTTTGTGACCCGCTCTGAGCCTCCTCTGGGTAGTGAACAGCAGGGTAGAAATCCAATCTCTTCTTCTTCTTAAAGGTGCCGCTGGAGTCAAACTTTGATTCTGGCAACTTAGTAGTACAGCAGAAAACCTATGTCAGTATTATGAACAGAAGTGTGTTTGTATGTATGTGTGGGGAGTTTGAGAGCCAGTTTAGTGTCGTGGTTAAGAGCATGGACTCTAATCTGGGAGAACTGGGTTTGATTCCCCACTCCTCCACTTGCAGCTGCTGGATGACCTTGGGCAAGCCGTAGTTCTGATAAGAGCTGTCCTTGAAAAAAGAGCGTTTTCTGTCAGAGCTCTCTCAGCCCCACCGACCTCACAGGGTGTGTCTGTTGTGGGGAGGGGGAGGGGAAGGGAGTTTGTGAGCCGCTCTGAGACTCCCTTGGGTGGTGAAGGGCGGGGTATAAATCCAATCTCTTCTTCTTACCTGACAGAGGTGGATGAAGTTACACATCTGTGCCCTTCCTCCATCAATCTTTGGGATGGTGTAGATAGATTTCTCTCCCTCCTCCCGCCCCAATTACACTCCTCACCAGTTGCTTAGGAGGATTTAGATGTGGTGGGTGGCCAGGTTCACCCACTCAGGCCCATGGCCAGACAGGGGTTTGAACCCAAGTGCTCTTGCTCCAGCAAGTTCATGCAAAGTATGTTGTCGAAGGTTTTCACAACATTAGTTGCTGTAGATTTCCCGGGCTGTCTGGCCGTGGTCTTGGCATTGTAGGACCTGACGTTTCGCCAGCAACTGTGACTGGCATCCCCAGAGGTATAACACAGAAAGAGGGAGTCCTCTCTATGTCAAGGTGAGAAGAAAAATGGTAGGCAGGTAATTTATATCTGCTCAGGAAGGTGGGGGTAGGGCTGAGTCCATTCTCTTGTAGGAGTTCCCCAGGCTGTGACATGCTAATGGAGGAGCTTTTCTGAGGAGGCTCTTTTGCATATGGATTGGCTGTTGAAATTCTATGGTAATTGGATGTGTTCCCATGTTTGAGTTAGGCTGGACACGGTATCTTATTCCAAGACACTGAAAGGCTGGACAACACATCCAATTACCATGTCAGATTACACAGGGAAGCCGTTGAAATTCATAAACATAAACACAATTTCAAGAGAAAAGGAGAGAGTTTAAAAATAAATAGGGCACGGTTTCCTGTCCTGAGAAACACAAAATGCTCTACATCTGACAACAGCACTACAGATAAGATGAGAATTTCAGCAGCCAATCCATATGCAAAAGAACCTCCTCGGGAAAGCTCCTCCAATAGCATGTCACAGCCCGGGGAACTCCTACAAGAAGCCCTCCCCCCCCTTCCTGAGTAGAGATAAATTACCTGCCTACCATTTTTCTTCTCACCTTGACACAGAGAGTACTCCATCTTTCTGTGTTATACCTCTGAGGATGCCAGTCACAGCCAGAGGTCATTTCGGGGGGATCGCGGGCGATCGCAGTTCCCCCGGGTAAGGTACAGGGGGCGGGGCACATGACGAAGCCCCGCCCCCTGCTTCCGGCCACCCCGCTTCCGGCCCTCATTCAGCCAGGAGGAGGCAGGAGAAGAGGGAGGGTAAGTTGCTTCCTCCCTGCCTCTCCCCACCCCTGCCTGCCTGGGGCCAGGGAGGGCCTTCGCGGGGCTTCCTCGCACTCCCGCCGGCCTTGCAGGTCCACCGCCAGGCCCCTCATGGGCTCGGCAGTGGAGCTGCAAGGCCGGCGGTGGTGGCCAGGACCGTTGGGGGCGGGGTGTGTGGCCTTATGACACACTTCCGGTGATGTCAGGGGGTGTGGCCTTATGACACACTTCCGGTGATGTCAGGGGGTGTGGCATATGCTAATGAGTTATGCTAATGAGTTCCCCTAGCTCTTTTTCTACGAAACGACCCCTGGTCACAGCTGCTGGTGAAATGTCAGGTCCTACAATGCCAAGACCATGGCCATACAGCCCGGCAAATCTACAACTCATGCATGATAGCTCACGAAGGATGTGGATGGGGGTGGGAGGCCAAGGGGCACGCCCCCCAGTGCCTGCAGGGGATGGCGTACTCTGCCGCTCACTAAACCCGCTCTCCCCTAGGCGAAACCTGGAACCCCTTCAAGCTGCAGTACCAGCTGCGCAACGTGCGCGAGCGGATCGCCAAGAACCTGGTGGAGAAGGGGATCCTGACGACGGAGAAGCAGAACTTCCTCCTCTTCGACATGACCACCCACCCGGTGACGAACACCACCGAGAAGCAGCGCCTGGTGAAGAAGCTCCAAGAGAGCGTCTTGGACCGGTGGGTCAACGACCCCCACCGCATGGACAAGAGGACCTTGGCCCTGCTGGTGCTGGCCCACGCCTCCGACGTGCTGGAGAACGTCTTCACCAGCCTGGCCGACGAGAAGTACGACGTAGCGATGAACAGGTCCAAGGACCTGCTGGACAGAGAGCCCGAGGTGGAAGCCGGCAAGACGGGCAGCGTGGAGATGATATGGGCCGTGCTGGCCGCTTTCAACAAGTCTTAGATCCCTCCCTTGAGCGGGCTTCCGCCTTTCCCCTCTAGGAATCAGATCTCTCGCTCTGTGGAATCTTCCCATGCTGCACAGCGACAGCCGTTGGGGACTACTTCCTGCCACGCCCACTTCCCCCCCAACTCCAGACATTGGGTGTGGTGGGGAATATCCTCTGTTGGCATGCCGATACCTTCACCACCATGTCCTCCAGTTCGGGGATCGATGGATTCTAAGAAGGAGCGAAGAAATCTACATCAGTTTTCTCTCCTCTCCCCTCTGCCCCCCAGTCTCTTAATTTTTCGTCCCCCTCCCAAAACTAAATGAAGGCCCGTGTCTGATCGAACTGGATCAAGCCGCGTCTCTTATTTTTTTATTATTTCGAACTCTCTTCTTTTTCGATGTTTTTAGGACGGAAGGAATCGTGGCGTGCGTTCTTTTGATTGTTTTTGTTTCGTTTTTAATTTCGCCTCCTGTTTCGGTCCTGTCTCGTTTTTGGGTCCGGGCGGCTCCGGTTCGGCTCCGCTCTTTCTCGTGTGTTCGTTTGCAAAAGATCATTACAGCACAACTTCTATGCATTCTCTGGTGTTTCTTTTCGTCCTCCCCTGCCTCTGTGTTCAAACCGCTCTTCTGGTGCAGAGAATACCTATCACGAATACTCAGGGCTAACACGTTAAAAACTATGCACCCGGATTTTCGTGAGCAGCATCTACTCTTAAGTTCTTAGCTAGTAAAAGCAGAATAAATTTTAGTCATGGAATGAGGAAGCCCTGCCGTATGTCATCCAGCTTTGGGGAGGGGCTGTGGCTCAGAGGAAGAGCCTCTACTTGCCACACAGAAGGTCCCCGGTTCAATCCCCTGCATCTCTAGTTAAGAGGATCTTGCAGTAGGTAATGCGAAACACCTCCAACCTGAGACCTTGAAGAGCTGCTGCCGGTCTGAATAGACGATACAACCTTGATGGGCCAGTGGCAGCTTCATGCGTGTTTTTCTCCCTCCCTTCTTCCAAAGAGCTTGATTCTTCCCTTGGCTGTTTTACCTTCCCATGAGCTTCCCAGCTGAGTGGGAATTTGATCTCGAGACTCGCTAGTCAGTTTACACCACACTGGCTTGGGAGATTTCCATGCCATTTCCAAACACATATTCACAGCCCAGAGGGAATAGAAACTGATGACGGCGAGCGGGATGTTCTTTGGAAGGCAAGTGTCGTGCAGGATCAGAGCATTCACATAGCCTTGTGCCTAATGCAGTGTGCTAGTTGAGGGGCTGTGGGTCCATGGTAGAGCATCTGTTTGGCATGCAGGAGGTCCCAGGTTCAGTCCCCGGCATCTCCAGGTAAAAGGACCAGGCAGGAGGTGATGGGAAAGACCTCAGCCTGAGACCCTGGAGAGCTGTAAAGAGGGGTTGTGGCTCAGTGGAAGAGCCTCTGCCTGGCATGCAGGAGGTCCCAGGTTCAATCCCCGGCATCTCCAGTTAAAAGGACCAGGCAGGAGGTGGTGGGAAAGACCTCAGCCTGAGACCCTGGAGGGCCATGGAGAGGGGCCATAGCTCAGTGGCAGAGCATCTGCTTGGCGTGCAGAAGGTCCCAGGTTCAGTCCCCGGCATCTCCAGTTAAAAGGACCAGGCAGGAGGTGATGGGAAAGACCTCAGCCTGAGACCCTGGAGAGCTGTAAAGAGGGGTTGTGGCTCAGTGGAAGAGCCTCTGCCTGGCATGCGGAAGGTCCCAGGTTCAATCCCCGGCATCTCCAGTTAAAAGGACCAGGCAGGAGGTGGTGGGAAAGACCTCGGCCTGAGACCCTGGAGGGCCATGGAGAGGGGCCATAGCTCAGTGGCAGAGCATCTGCTTGGCGTGCAGAAGGTCCCAGGTTCAGTCCCCGGCATCTCCAGTTAAAAGGACCAGGCAGGAGGTGATGGGAAAGACCTCGGCCTGAGACCCTGGAGAGCCATGGAGAGGGGCCATAGCTCAGTGGCAGAGCCTCTGCTTGGCATGCAGGAGGTCCCAGGTTCAATCCCCGGCATCTCCAGTTAAAAGGACCAGGCAGGAGGTGAAGGGAAAGACCTCCGCCTGAGACCCTGGAGAGCTGTAAAGAGGGGCTGTGGCTCAGTGGCAGAGCCTCTGCTTGGCATGCAGAAGGTCCCAGGTTCAGTCCCCGGCCTCTCCAGTTAAAAGGACCAGGTAGCAGGTGACAGGAAAGACCTTTCTCTGCCGAGACCCTGGAGAGCCACTGCCGGTCTGAGTAGACAATACTGACCTTGATGGATCAAAGGTCTGATTCAGTTAAAAAAAAAAAAAAAGCAGCTTCATGTGTTCATGTGCAAGTGTGCTACTCTTGAGCGCCTACCCTTCATTATAAACAAAGCTGTGGTGTCTGAATGGTTGAATGTTGCAGCTGCCTTGCACTGAGTCTAGTTGTTAGTCCCTCTTTCCCAGAATTGTTGACTCAGTTTGGCCGCAGCTGTCCAGGGCTTTGGGCAAGGGTCTTCCTCAAGGCTGTAATCCTCTTATCTGGATTTTCCAGAGTTTGAATCATGAGGCCAAAATGCTCTGGGTGTTCTTGAGATGGAAAAAGGAAATCAGAGCAACATCCGAAGTCGATGGAGATCTAATAATGGGCAACTTTAACTACCCTCGTATTGACTGGATAAATGTGTGTTCCAGTCATGCCACAGAGCCCGCAGGGCTGTTTTTGTAGCAGGAACTCCTTTGCATATTCGGCGACACACCCCTAAATGTAGCCAATCCATCAAGAGCTTACAGTAGCCCCTGTAAGAAGAGCTCTGTAAGCTTTTGGAGGATTGGCTACATTAGGGGTGTGTCGCCTAATATGCAGAGGAGTTCCTGCTACAAAAACAGCCCTGCACAGAGGATACCCTAACCACCTGTGCCCTAGAACAGCTGTTCATGGAACCAACTGGAGGGGAAGAAACCCTGGACTTAATCCTCAGTGGTGCTGCTCAGGACCTGGTGTGAGGTGGCTGAACTGATGGGAAACTGATCACAGTTTTATCAAATTTAATTTAATTTAATTTTTTATCAAATTTAATCTGTGTTGTGGAGAGAGTGGAGGGGGATAAGCTCCCTCTCCCATAATACTAGAACCCGGGGTTGTCCACTGAATCTGAAGGGTGGGCAACTCAGGACGGACGCAAGGAAGGACGTCTTCACGCAGCGCATAGTTAACCTGCGGGACTCGCTGCCACAGGATGTGATCGTGGCTGCCAAGGTGGAAGGCTTTAAAAGGGGAGCGGACAAATTCACGGAGGACAGGGCCATATCACTAGCTACTAGTCGTGGATAGCTACTCTGTCCAGTGCTACAGGCAGTATGCCTCTTTGAATCAGTTGCCTGAGAGCACAGGAGAGAGGGTGCTGTTGGCAGCCATCCTGCTTGGGGAGTTTTTGTGGGGATTCGAAATCTGGGTCTCCCAGATCCTAGCCTGACATTCCAGCCACTGCACCACACTGGCTTTCTCCTCCCCCTCACCCCAGTTCTGCAGATCATCCTTTCTGACTCCCTTTCCTGCTTTTTTGGAATGATTCTAGCCTTTGTGGCCGAGTGGGGATTCGAACCTGGGCCTCCCAGTTCATCCTAGCCTGACACTCTAGACACTGCACCCCGCCGGCCGTTGGCTTCCTAGAGGCAGCTGGTTGGCCACTGCGTGAGCTGCATACTGAACCAGATGGGCCTTTGGTCTGATCCAGCAGGGCTCTTCTGATGTTCTTGCCACCTGCAAGGGAAGTCACAGAGCTGCGGGCTTGCACAACCGCGATTCTTCTCCCGGAGATAGTGTCACCTCGCTGGGGGAGAAAAGGGCAGAAA